GTTCAAGATGTGTGTTGATGACACTTCTAATAATAGTTGGTATGGTTTACGTTCATAGCGATTGATGTTTACGTTTCTATGTTGCAATCAGTCACAATACTTCATGTGAACAATTAATTTGATTTTGTTCGAGTCACGCGAATGAAGTTGGAGTCGCAAAAGCAAGTCATCTGTTCAATAGGCATCTGAAGAATTGTCCAGAGATCCGAAAGTTATAGTGGATCTATGAATTGATTAATTCACAAAGAAAAATATTCCTTTCGAAAGTACCGAAAAGGTAAAACAAAACGGTGAAAAAGAATAAATGAAGATAATGGCATTGAGTTGAGCGTTTTTTGAAGACTAACGTCATTGTGGTGGATTACATAATATTGTTATGAACATGTATACATTTCTGGCGTTCATTGAGCAGAGATTAACGAGCCTGTTCTGAGATTAAGTCTCCTATTAGTCCGTGGCATTGATATCTGCTACTATGGAACATATCTTTGCTGATTTTTATTCACTTTGCGTTCCACAGTTTCTTAACAAAAACCTCTGATCCAACAATTTTTGATATGTTGTTTGTTTTTTTCGAATATTCAACAAAATTTTGACAACAGTGATTCAATAGCAATAATCTGATATCATTTTTTCGTTGTGATATGGATGCAATTATAAGGAACATTACGAATTACGAACAATTCGTCATGCGCTCATATACAGGGTTATTTAACAGTCGCTTTAGTGGACAACCAGTCCTTCTAGTTCGCTGTGTGTCCTATATGGGACTGTTCATATCATCGTTATGACGCCGGCTAGTTTCATTGTAACCGCAAGGAAATACTGATTCGGTTTTAGACATTCAATGCGACCGGATGCACACTCTAAATTCTGGAGTTTGCATCCATCCAGAACAACTCTAATCACTTGAAAACCTCTCTTGAGAATTGCTCTCTTGAAGTTATTTTCTTCGAATGTTTTTGATCGATTCTTTTAAGAATTTGCAAGTTCTCAATTGTGCCCGTTGTTTGGCCTTGTGAATCTTTTCCTTGGAACGGTTTTTTTTTTCAAATGTTCTAAATCCGCCATCTCGGATAGTATTTTTTCAGAATATCCATCCTTGCACTATCCATCCAACATGTTGCTTTCAATTATTTAACATTTTCAGTCCAAACCGGATCAGATCCCAAGCGCGACAGTGCCTTCAAATCAACAGAAACCTCGCACGAAGCACACCGATCAGCACGAAGTGACAGTACGAAGTAACAGTAGTTCATCGTCATCATCACCCGCTCAACGTCCATCACAATCTACTTTCAGTCCTAAACTAACGCCTGGTCAAAAACTGATAATCGCTCGTGAGGCTGAGGAACGTGAACGAATCTTAGCCGAGAAAGCCGCACGTGAGGTGTGTTTGGTTGTCAGTGAATTTGAACATTTTCAGTCCAAACTGGATCAAATTTTCGTTCCGTAGAGTAATAACTGTTATCGTATATATGTAATGATTTATCAATTGCGATTGTTCTTCAAGAACATTATTTTGTGAGAGTGTGTTTGAAGAGAATGAAGAGTTTATTGCAGAAAGCTGAACGGGAGCGTGAGGAACGTGAACGTGAACGTCAAAAGAAGATACAGGTTGCAACCAGTTTCATTCAGATTCACTTCAAGAACCCATGAAATATCCAAAAAAAATCAGTTATTTGTCATATTCCTTTCCAGCTGTCTGTTATCGTACACAATCAGCTTAATGCTTAATCATATAATTTTCGCTTCATACAGTAATAACTGCATTCACATTATTGAAAGTTGACGATAGTTATGTGAATGATTCAATTCGGTGTTTTCACAGGAAGAAAAAGAACGTGAGGAGGCAGAAAATCGCAAACGCGATGAAGAAGCGATTAGAAAATGGGAAATGGAGGTTGGTTGGTTACTATTAGACTGCTCTTATCATTATGTTGTTTGTTTCGTCGTTATAAAACGCACGAGAATGATGCTTCGGCAACATCAGCTGGAGTCAATCGCACTGTGATCTGATGATATCGCTTAATGTCCTTCAATTCTAGCCAATATTATGGACCACCAGATCGAAAAAAATTATAAGCCAGATCGTTTCGTGATTTCTATGCATTTCTCTGATATTTCCCTTCAACTGTCGTTTACCGTTAACTTTCTGAATATTAATCCCTCAAGAATCGACCAGTTCCTTCCCTAGTCTTCAGGAGGCCGAACGCTTAGAGGCAGCTGCCGAGGAGGAAGAAGCAGAACGTGAAGCTCAAGCTGAAGCTGAGAAGAAACGTTTGCAATTTGAGGTCACTTTTAGGAATCCGAATTTGATCTTCATTTAATTACTATCACAGTTCCATGGAATGAGTTTCACGTTCCAGTCCGTTTTGTTTTCGATATGAGTGTATTTCTTTACGTCTGCATAAGGTCCTCCGAAAATTCATTCATTCGCTTAATAGTGTCATCATGAAAACTGCTAAATTTGTTCCCCTTTATGTTTCTTCTCTTGGATGGTATTCTATGAGTATGAAAGTTTTATTTTGTTTTCAGGAAGTTGAAAGGCAAGGGCTGTTAGAAGGAGAACTGGCAGCAGAACTTTTAGCAAAGGAACAAATGGAAACCGAACAACTTGTGCGTTCATAGTTGTTCTTCAGTCTTGAAATTATTTATTTCGAATAGTTTTTGACCATTTTGATGATTTTTCTCACTCATTCGAATAGTTCACAGTTTACTGAATTCATCACGAGTGTTCTAGCCACCAGATTAATGTTGAAAATTTGCAAAACATTAAAAGAATTTTAATGAAATAATCATTTGGAAAATGCAAACATCAGTATCGAAAGAAATTGTTGATTGCTACCAAAAAGCTGGGTAGAACTTAGCGTAGTGGTGTTTTTTCATTGGATTAAACGATGATGCTTCATCTCAAATTCTGCTGTTTTATCAAATTTTATTCATATATCGAGAGCGCTAAGTATGAAAATGACAAGTGCTGTTAAAGGTTGACGAAGAGAAAGGAGAAATGCCTTTGCAAAATGAAGAAGGAATGGACGAACGAATCGAACGAGAAAAAGAACAGAGGGAGAGGGAAGAACGTGAACTGGAGTTGAAACGACTTCAAGAGGTTTGTATTCGATTCAGAATTTGATTATTTCTCAACAGATGTGTTTGTTATCCCTGCACTGTGTATATTGTGTGTTGTATGTTATGTTCTNTACTGCAATGAATGTTGTGCAGGCTGAACGAAAACGGCAAGAAGAGATCGATGAATTACTCGGAAGTTTATCACCGCTTGATTTCGATGACACTGAAACCGTTCCTGATCAACTAGCACAACAACAACAACAACAGGAACCACAGCAAATATCATTAAATTTCGGAAGCGTAGAGCAACCGATGAGCCACGAGAGTTTGCAAAATCCCTCCACTCCATCGAGTTGCGGTTATGTGGGAATTATTGAGGTTTTTTGTTGATTATAACTGATATTTTTTGCATTTTCTTCTTGATCGCCGTGACTGACCCAGGCCTTGACGATGTCATTGATTATCTTTCATTCCCGACTTCTTTTCTACTTTACACAGGGTATTAAACTAATGCAATTGAGAGCAATACACCGTTTTATAAAACATTGTGTAATAAATGAATGTGATAATATGTGTATTTTATCGATACCGAATTTCTTACTGAATGCATGACCCCGGTTATTGCTGAAGTCTGTTTACATCTAAAAGATACTTAAATACCATCAGAAATGATATCTCGCAGTTATTAACTCAACTCTCCACAATTGGCAATTCAATTGAATCATTTCTGATGAATGATAATGGTCCTCTTTGCAGAACTCTCCGTCATCATCTCGTAGTGATCCACAGCGATTATACGGAGCTGGTTATGGCGCTACGCAGCATGGCTCACCGATGTTTCAACAGGTAATGAAATGACATTTCTTCCATTCAGAATGCAGTTTCCTCCACGAGAAACATTGAAAGTATTATATCTCATTCCCTCTATGGTGTTGAAATGTTCTCCTATTAACTTAACGAACTCTCACGAATAAACAGATATCGACACCAACGACCGCAAGTCCTCACTCTATTCCACATTCGCCTTTACAACAACAACAACCGCGTTCTTCACCTATGCAAACCATTCCCTCGTCGCCATCCTATTATAATCGTATACAGTTAGTACTTCGATTTTTTTTCTAAAGTTCATCTTATTTCGTTAAATTAAAATTGAAAGTTTCTAG